GCTTTGGAGGTCCGTTTCGATTCGGGTGATTCCGGCTGGCTCGATGCGGTTCGGTTGCGATTATCCGGCGATCCGATGCGGCCCGATGTTGGAACGGCGTTCGATTTCGATTACGTTCGCCGATGCAGCCCGATCCGACGCACATTCGAATCCGATCCGATCTGACTTCCCGATTCGATGACTGATTGGGCCAGCCATCGCTTTTCCAGTAATTACCCCTCTTTCTTTTCTTTCTGCATTTTTCTCCTCTATTTCGCTCTTTTCTGGTTCAGCGCCGCAAGCGCACGACGACCGGGCCACATAGTGGACTCATGTGCTTCCCAAGAAGGCGACGGAGGGAGAGGGGAGGGGGCGAACGCCAGCCGATGCGCAACTAGCACCCAGCCCACCACCCAAGGAAAAGGGACACGCAGACCCGCACACCACCACCACTTGCACGATCCTTCGATGCAACTCCTGTGAGGGTCAATTCCGATTTTGCCCTGTTCCGAAATCCGTTTTGATCTGGCTTAATCCTGCTTGTTCTGGCCGAACTAATCCTGCTTAATCTGGAGTAATCCCTTGCCTACTTTGGCGTAGCAGCCCCCCAACTGGGGCTCAATCCTCCATTATCCTTTTGACAAAGACCTCCCAGTAGTTGCATCCTAAAGAGTCCTAAACCATGCAGTGAACCCACGCACCAGCGGGCAGCTCCAGCTGAGAGGACGCTCGGGTTGGCTACCGCTCGTCGCTCGGTGGCAACAGGCAGGAGCGTGGTTTTTATTGCTTGGGGCATAAACGGCATTATAGCCCCTGGCCCATCCTCTCCCCCCCTATAACGTAACGCCCCTCCATCCCCCGGTGCGCTCTGGGCACTGCCGCCGTGCGCACGGCGGGGGGGAGGCGTTACATTATATCCCCCCCCTGGCCCCTCCCCCCCCCTATAATGCCCATTATCGCCGAAAATACAGAAACGCGCGCGCTCCAGGGCGACGGGGACAGGAGAGACCCCATGCCGCCCCCGCGGTCGACCGTCGGAGCATCGCCGTGACACGCAGGGGGCCACCAGGCGACCCACGACAGGTTCGGACGCCATCCTACCCTGGGAGGAAGAATATACAGCACCACCCAGGCCGTCCCTCGTCTTCCGACTGGTAACTCTCCACAGAAGCCCACCCACCGCATGCACCCTGATTGACCTAAGTCTACATGCATTCCACAGCTGACAGGCATGCAGCATCTCACCGTCCCACCTTCAACCAGGCAAGAAGCGCGGCTACCTTCAACACGCCGCTCTCGTTATCCTGCCCCGTGTAAACTGTTCGTGCGTTCTAGGTTTCACCTCGAACACCAAATGAGTCCGCGCCTCACGGTGACGTCCTCCCTGCCGGCGAGTCTCTGGAAGGTTCGGCACCGCGTCGTTGTTTCGGTTTCGTGTTGAGGTCCCCTCTGCGAGCGCGAAGCAACCAGAACACGCCTTCGACACCGCTTGGCAAAGCACCGACCTCAGCGCCAGCAACACCTCGTGCTCAGAGCCCGACGCGCGGTGGCCGGCCGCGCCGCCTCTCCTCCCCCCAGGAGCCGCACGCCGAGGTCCCAGCGGGAGCCGAGGGAGCCCACCTCGCAAGGGAAGAGCCGATGCCCCAACGCCTCCGCGACGTGACGATCTGGAGGGGGGCTGTGCACTTCCTCAAGCAGTGGCGAAGCGTCCCGGCTCGCCTAAAAGGCCCACCACAGAATGTTTCAAGAACCTGCTGTGGTTTGCACGAGATGTTCTTCGAACATGTCTGGCTGAGACTGGCTTGTTGAAGCACATCGGGCTGACGTTCTACGAACTTTGTCTATGTTCTTCGAAAATTATGGGTTCTACGAACATGTCGTGGTAGGCCCATAGTATTGCCGAGACGGTCGGTCTCTGCTCAACTCCCGCCCACCCCCCTGCCAATTAGAGCGCTCAGAGGATTCCCATCGGTCGTTGAAGGTAGGCAGTTTGGGGTTCCCAGGTTCCAATCTACTCTGAGCGCCTTCCTGCTTCAATGATCGAGTGGCCCCACCTTGTCCGTCCTCCCAAGGGGGCAGGCGGACACCCAATCTATTTCCAACGCTTTATTACTCCATGTTTCTACCTACTTCTTCCAACCGATGGTTAGTATATCTCCCTCTGCCGCAGGAGAGTCCTGCCGCAGCCGCCATAGACCAAGGCCTTACAGTTGCACTACAGGGGACACCCTGAGTGGGGTCGGTGTCAGCCGCGCTCTTGGCTCCCTTCCCCCACCCTGGCGCGGGGATGAACAGCGGCGAGACGTGTGAACCTCAGGAGGAAGAGAGGATAGGAGAAGGGGAGGACAGGAGAAGGAGAGAGAGAGAGAGGAAAGAGGCGAGGGGCACAGTCTCACAACAGCCTGCACCCCCTCCCCAGGGGGAGTCCCGCAACTGGGATGTGGAAGACGCGTTGTTCGACAGGCAGCCGAATTAATAAACCTGTGGCCTGTGCACTCTGCCCGTTTTTCTCGTCAGGGAGGGCGTCGCCCGTATAGGACATCACGGGTCTTTTTCTCCACCGGATGTTTTTTTGTGCGAGAGGACCCCCAAGCGGGGTCGCAGGTGAATGCCCGAAGTGGCAATGCGACTTTCCAGCTGCTTCATTCTTCACGCTGGCAGCTCCCAGCTGGCCTGAAGACGCACCACAGTGGACCATACGCGTCCCGCTCCCGTTCCGATCTTCCTCCCTGTACCCCTCTGTGGAACACCCCCTCTGGACCCCAAGCTCGCTTTCCCTCCCCCGCTTCCCGATGCTCCTCCTCCCTAGCTCCACCTCCCACAAGGGCCTCTGGGGTCCCCGGAGCTTGCCCGTGGGCCTCCAGAGGCCGATGAAAGGGCCGAGAACGATGGGCATGGTTTCCACCGCCACCACCATCAGTTGGAGGGGGAGGGGGTCCTCCTCCTCCTCCTCCTCCTCCTCCTCCTCCTCCTCCTCCTCCTCCTCCTCCTCCTTCCTCCCTCGAACTTATGGTGGTGGTGGTCCTCCCCCTCCTCCTCTCTCAGATCGGCTTCCACATGTGAACCCTACACCCCGCCCCCCCCCCACGAATTCTAAGGGGTGTTGGGGGGTTTTAGTCCGCTCGGGAGCTCCCGAGCGGAGTGAACCCCCACCCCTCCTTAGCCTTAGACATCGTGAAGCTTTGAACTAGGGTTCGCATGACGCCACCTATCAGAAATCGGCCCCCTGGCTTTTTCAAACATCCGTCCGCGAGCGCGTCTGACAATATCGTAGCACCCCGCAGTTACGGATAAGAGTGAGGGGGCGGCGGGGACGTCGGCAGTAGGCGCAAAATGTTTCAAGCCATAGAACGAGCCCGCCGCAGGCGCCGATTTTTTGTTAAAACAATGTAGGTGGGTCGCGGGTTGGGTCGCAGGTGGGTCGCGGTTGGGTCGACGGTGGGTCCTGGGTGGGTCGCGGGCCGGGTCGCGGGTGGGTGGCGGGTGGGTCGCGGGTGGATCGCGGGTGGGTCGCGGGTGGGTCGCGAGGTGGTCGCGGGCCGGGTCGCGGGTGGGTCGCGGGCCAGGTCGCGGGGGGGACGACGACAACAACAACAACAACAACGACGACGACAACAACAATCATTATGATATTGTTCGCTCTTACTTACCCGCGTGTCATTCAAAACGATTTCCCCACACCCTCGATACCCGCCCTTTTCGTCTTCGATCACACCCCCTTTGGGGGGATTCTTTCTCTTTGCGGGGGCGGCGGGCTTACACAGGCGGGCAAACCTGAACCGGCGGACAATCTTTCGTGGGCGTACATGTGCCCGCCATTCGAATTGGTGTGGGCCCTGCAAAAGAAGAGGGGGATAACGAGGGAGAGTGGGAGGAAGGGCGGGGGAGGGACGAAGGAATAGGGACAACGCTAGGAGAGAAGGAGCGAAGAGGGGCCGGTTGATTAGAGGCAGAGAGAAAGAGAGAGAGAGAGGAAGAAAGAAAGACAGGTGAGAGACATTGAGAGAGAGAGAGAGAGAGAAGAGAGAGAGAGAGAGAGAAAGAAATAAACAAATAAAGAGGGAAGGAGGAGGCAGGAGAGGGGAAGTATAATGGAGCAGGGAGAGAAGGGAGATGGGATAGGGTAGAGAGGCACAAGGATGAGGGAAGAGAGAAGGGAGAGAGAAGGGAGGAGAGGAGGGAGGAGGGAGGAGGGAGAGGGAGGAGGAGCAAGAAGGTAAGAGCGTGAACGTTCGATGAAATCCTGGGCGAAAGCGCCGTTCCTGAAGGAAGTCTCGGGCGGGAGCCCATGACGGGCGGGCGATCCTCTGACGGGCGGGTCGGGCTGGTGGGACATTCAAGCGGGATGTCTGAGTCTGGCGAGAGCGCGATTACTAAGTAAATTGTAACGGCGTCCTTGGCGCAGCGTGTTTCCTGAGCGTCGAAACGCGAATTCTGCATAAATTGCATGGAGATTACAGGCGAGAGCGCAATTCCTGAATCAAATGTGAAAGGGTTCTCTGGCCGGAGCGGGGATCTTGATTAAATTGCGAGAAAATGTTGATTCAATTGCGAGGAAGTCTCAGGCGGGAGCGCCGTTCCTGAGTACATTGTGAGGAAGTCCCAGATGGGAGCGGGGGTCCTGACTAAATTGCGAGGGAGTCACAGGCTGGAGCACCGATCCTGAATAAATTGTGCGGAAGTCTCAGGAGCGGGGGTTCTGAGTAAATTTGGAGGAAGCCTCAGGCGGGAGCCGTTGTTGTTGTAATCCGGGGGGCCAGGGGCACAGTTTGAGGACCGAGATTTTCCCAGACAAAAAACAGGGCGCGAGCGTCGATGGGGCACACTTTGATTGAGAAATACATTATGCACTGGTGAGGGGGGATCAGCACTGACCATTCTTCAACAATGAGAGTTCAACAACAAGCATAATCGTCACCACGGATCCGCACTTCAGCCACGTACCCGGGAACAAAGAATGAGCGTTCGGCCCCTTCACTCTGATTATCTTGTTCGCGGCGTGCAGGGATCAGCTTTGGCAGATGGCACAAGAACTCACCAATGCAGTGAACAGCATCGGCCATTCGTGGAAGACGCAGTCGCTGGAGTACCTGCTGGCCGAGGGGTCTGCAGCAGATTTGGATTTCCAATTGGCAGTCACAGACGGCGACGTCCTGCAAGTCTATGAACCTGCTGGCGTGGCCAAGCTTCTGAGGGACATGTACGGCAACGAGGGCGGTACCCAATCCTCCATGGACCATCGGTTGCGACAGGCCGGTAGCTTTTTTTTCAAACACTGCAGACTCTCCAGGAACCCGAGTAACTTTGGGCAGCGGCTGCAAGCTGGGCGCGCAGCGGTTGTATTGTCGGCGATATTCGGAGGATGCACGCGGCACGTTACTCATCGAAATGTTGCTCGCCTGAGGACTTGGGAGTTGCAGAAAGAAACTACGACGCATGTTCCAGATGAGGCGGCGGCAGGGGGAAACAGCATTCATTTTCAACAAGCGCACCACAACCATGCTGCTTCGATGGCGACAGTTGAACAACGTGCCGCTTGCATTCGGTCTACCTCTTCGTGACATACACGCGGGAGCATGGGACGATGTATCGGTCCACGCGGGGCACGGCGAACGCCTTCTTAGATGGGCCCGAGAGCACAACGACGCAGCCACTTGGACAGCGGCGCAAACCGGTAGCGTGTCGTCCGGGAAAGTGGAAGGACTGGGCCACGCCACCCGGGGCCGCACCAAGAACCCGTGGGACATTTCTGTATTGGTTTACGGCGGGGCGTGGAGGGCCCAGAGGAATCGTTGTCGTGATAGGGTTGGTTCGTGCTCTGAATGGAAGGAGATCGTGAATAAATTGTGCAGGCGATGGGATCCCCCGCAGCTTCCAGCAAACCCGAATTTCGCGTCAACGGCTTCGCCTTCCACCCGCCGGGGCCCGCGCTGGCGCGCCACCACATCGACAACGTGTGCCGGGGCATAAGCTTCACCGCCAAGACGGGGTATGGCAAACGACCGCCGGGAACCCGGGTGCTCGTTGACTGCGAGCTCTCTGCCAATGTCGTGACTGGCCGCGCGCAGCTGCGAATCGATACGACTAGGCCGCTACTCGTGAGGATGGGAAGAGTGGTGGCGAGCTTGCACAAGAGGGGGATTACACCCTGTAGTAACCACGCGCCCTTGATACAGTTGCGACTGCGGGGGTTCAATTTTGTCGCAGATCGTCTCGCGAGTGCGGCCCTCTACTCTGCAGGGCTGCGTCTCGCACCGATGGGGGCGTGCGTGCTGGCCACGGGGCGGTAGGGTGGATGATATTTGCTGTCGAAGTCCAAGACGAAACCCAGCCCAATTTCCGTCGGCTTGCGTGCGGCTCGCATAGTTTGCGGCCGTGGGCATGTCTATCTCAGGCCGTAGCTATCGCACTTGAGACGGGGTTCGCGGAAATGACGAAGTATTTGCGAGGTGCCGTGCATTGTTTCACGTTGTTCCACACACCCTCACGTCGCAGTATGCATTATTCCATTGTGGCGTTGCCGCTACTTGCTGCCGGGGATGCATTGGGGACGCCAGGGCGTAACCGTTCGCAAAGAAAGAAGTCCTCGAGCACCTCGATTTTCATCTTGCCCCGCTCTCTCCAGGCACCAGTCCTCCGACGGGGTGTTGGCCCCATCCTCAGGACAAGATTGCGTCACCCCGGGCCGTTTTTGACGGAACCGGAGCCCTATAACGCGGCGGCCTGTCGCCGAACATGACGAACAAAAAACGAGGAGGAGCAGGAGAGCCCCCGAATATACCGAAGCTCATCCAGCACGATGTTTGTAAGTTGTGTTCGGTGGGGTGCAGGTTACTGCAAGAACATTCACAGGCACAGGTTGTCGACACAGTTCTGGGCCGGGCGGCCCGTTCATTGAACAGCACGTTTCTTCGCCCTCTTCCCCTACTCATTGCCAGGGGGCTGCCACCTCGCCTGAAATGGTTTGACGGTATTGCGAAGGCCTAACGGCCGCTGCCGCCGACCCTGAAGGGGGACGTCGACGACGACGGCGGCGGTGGCGGCGGCGGCGACGACGACGACGTTGACTGGGCCCGGCTCCTCAGGGATGTTTCTTGGGGTCTCTTGGGGAAGCTCTCGGGGACCTCTTGGGGGCAATTCTGAGGCCTCTTGGGGGCCTCTTGGGGGCCTTCTCGGGTGCTCTCGGGGCCTCTTGTGGGCTTCTGGCGGCCTCTTTGAAGCGTTTTGGGGCATCCTGGGAGCTTCTCGGGGCCGAGGGCTCGAAATGTCCGTTCGGTTGCCCCGTCAAAACACACTTTTGGAACCGTTTTGGGGCCTCCTTGAAGGCGTTTTGGGCTATCTTTGGGTTTTCTGGGGACTTTTTGGGGCGCATTTGGAAGCCTCTTGGGCCGTTTGGGGGCGATTTTGAAGGCCTCTTCGGCTGTCTTGGAGCGGCGGGAAGCAGAATAACGAAACCGCCCCAATCTGTCAAAACCCGTACGAACATAAATGAGTTATGCTTCTCGGGGCCCTTTTTCGGGAGTGCCTGTGGAGGCCTCTGGGGGCCCCCCCTTTGGCACCCTGTGGAAGAGTCTTGGGATGTTTCTAGCTCCGGGGACCGCGCCAGAGTTTCGGAATCGCGCGGGGGGGAAGCGTTGGGTGGCGACCCCGGGACCCCCCTGGGACCCCCCCCCTGGGCCCCCCCCTCTGGACACCCTCCCCCCGGGCGCAAGGAAGGGATCAAAGGGAAGGGCTTCCTTTCGATTCGATTGCGACATTGCACGGATTTTCTCTCGCTGACAGGTTTGAGGAGTGTGCAAGGAAAGGGGACGACGCAGACGACGACTGACGGAGACGACGACTCGAACAGACAAACCCTTCGCACACGCCGACAGGGTCGGCGGCAGGCTCGACGTTGCGAACGTGGCGTGCAGATGGGGACTGAGAACCACTTTCCCACGGCGGCGAGCAATATAGGAGTCTTGAATCGGCACACGCCCAGGGTTATACTTGAAGCGCCCCGGCGCACCCGCCGTTCTCCACACGGGACGCCCTGTGGGCGCCGCTTGGCGCCGCTCCGCTCCGCTCCACTCCGCCCCTCGAGAGGAGGAGGGGGAGGGAGGAGGAGGAGGCGGAGGAGGAGGAGGAGGAGGAGGAGGAGGAGGAGGAGGAGGAGGAGGAGGAGGAGTATCTCCCCCCCCGCCCCGCGCACGTCGAGGCAGATGCCGGCGGGGCTGCAGCCGCGCACGGCGCCCCACGGCGCGCGCGCCCACCGGCGGCCCGGGGAGCTGCCGCCGTGGCCCCTCGCCGCCGCCGTGACCCCTCGCCACCGCCGCCGCCGTCGCTGTCGCCGTCGCCGCCGCCGCCGCCGCCGTCGCCGTCGACGCCGCCGCCGCCTCCGGCGCCGCCCCTGGCGCGCTCCACGCGGCGCCAGGGAGGGGGGTCCAGCGCGTATCCAAGAGACCCGCGCGCAGCGCAAAAAGTTAATGTTCATGTGTTGATGTCCTGATGTCCTTCTTCTATTCTCGTCCGCGTGCTCTTCTCGTCGCGCGCCACGTTCGTCGTCCTCTTCGCGCCCCCGCGCCTCCTCCCGATCGCCCTGGGGCTGCGCGGGTCACTGGGCGGCCAGCGCGGGGCCCCCGCCCTGGCTGTGTTGTTCCAGGGCTGCCCGCTGCGCCGAGGGCGGCGGATCGGGTTAAGGCGGTCGCGCCCCTCGGTAGATCTACAGAAGGAAAATCAAACATAATCAATCATAGTCTGTGGACGAGGTTTGAATATGTTTGAGCATGTTTGGTTTCTTTTTGTTGTAACTCTTTTGTATTTTTAGTCCGAAATCAGCCTGTATGGGGACATGCCCGACCTAAGGAAAGGGAGGGAGTGGGGCTGACGCAGACCCGGTCGCACCGTGAAGCAGTCAGGCGGGACAGTTTCTGTGTGGTTTCGCCCCACGGGGGGGGTGGACCCTTGCCGGGTCCCGGGGCTGGCAAACACCTACTCAGGACAAGAAGCCGGTCCTGCGGGGTCCAGAGGGTCCACGGTCAGAAAAAAAAATTTTCCGTCAGAGGTCTGAGTTGGACGAAAATGAGGGGAATCAGGATCGAGATGGCCTCGTGTTTGGGCTGTTGCGTTGCCGTGCGTCAAGCTCATGAGAACCTGTCGCGGCGCTCGGTGTCTCCGCACTGCCGTCTTCAGCTGTGAGCTGAGATGGTCGCTATCTGCCTGGAGGTGGCGCTTGGAGCGGCCTTGCAGCGTTGCCGCCGCTGGCTCAGTCGTTGATGGTCAGGTTGGGCATGCTACTCCACGCGCCAGGCCCCGATGGTCATCTGGCCTGCAGCGGGACGCTAGGGCTGTAGTAACAGCAGGAGGAGGACAGGAGGAGGGGGAGGAGATCCGCCCATGATTATTCCGCATGCTGCGGTTTCTTGCCCATTCGTTTTCCTCATACCTCCCGACCCCTTTCCCGGGACTGGCTTGTCGTTTTCGGATTGTTTTTGTTCACGGTCCCAGGGCCCGAGGACGGCTTCCAGAGGTTGGATGGTGCTCGATTTAAGTATACACCACGCCGTTCAGTCGGCCATTTAGTCAAGGAAGTGGGCGAAGCAATTCGGTGTACAGTCAAGCCGTTGAAATAAGGACCACCTCGGGCTCCAGTCCGGGTTTTGGCCTTATGCCCTATCCTTGGGCCGAGGCCGGAAACCTATTGGTGGCCGAGATTCGCCGCGTTCCTCATTAGGCGCTTCGCCTGGTACAGCTCGAGCTAGGACAGGAGAACATCCTTCAAGAACATGAGGCCCTCCGCCGGCCAAACTGAAGTCCATTCGAGGGTCATCTCCCCCAGGTCGAATACACGTAAGAGTAACCCTTGGCTGGCGTGACCTTTGGTGCGGGCTCATTTGGGTCTCCCAGATCGCTGGGCGCGATGCGCTAGCTGCTGTTTGCGCGCTTGGAGGTGGCCACCGTACGCCTCCTCAGTCCGCGCACCAAAGATCACTGTTGTCTAGGGGCACTCTTGCGTGTAGCCGACCAGGATGCACAAGAACGTGCCACAAGCGCGAAGAAAATTAGGATACTCTCCCTGAAGCGACCTCGATTTCATATCTCGGTCCGACTGTAACGCGATGGCTTCATGGACGCTCCAGCGCCCCACAGCCTGGGTAGGCTGCGGCGCTTTCCAAACCCAGCTCCTTGGCCAGCCAGGCCAGTTGCACCACCTCGAGCCAGGGGCTGCCCCTGGAGGCTGAGGGCGGCGCGTCATGGGCTGCGCGACGTTCTGGCATTTTGCAGAGGTGCGTCGGAGGAAATTCATTCGGGGGTGGAGAGACCTCCTACCCTGACACGTCGATTCAGGAATTGGTTGTTCCCTACATGTTTCGTGGGGTTCTGGTTTTCTTCCCTGCCGCGGCGCACCCGCGTCTCACCTCACCTCACACCTCATCTCCTCTCTCCTCCTTCCTCAGCTCAGCTCAGCACAGCACAGCTCGGCTCAGCACAGCTCAGCACAGCCCAGCACGGCTCAGCTCAGCACAGCACAGCACAGCTCGTGGCACTTTCTCTACACCACAGGGGGAGCGCAGGGGTTGGTCTCTCAGCTCGGCCGCTATCCACGACACTGGCGCAAAGCCTAGCAGGCTCAATCACTCTCTCGACACCAAAAGGGGTGGGCAGGGGGTGGTCTCTCAGCTCGGCCGCTATCCACGACACTGGCGCAAAGCCTAGCAGGCGTGGCACTTTCTCGACACCACAGGGGGTGCGCAGGGGTGGTCTCTCACCGCGGTCCTATCCACGACACTGGCGCAAAAGCCTAGCAGGCGTGGCACTTTCTCGACACCACAGGGGGTGCGCAGGGGGTGGTCTCTCAGCTCGGCCGCTATCCACGACAGTGGCGCAAAGCCTAGCAGGCGTGGCACTTTCTCGACACCACAGGGGGTGGGCAGGGGGTGGTCTCTCAGCTCGGCCGCTATCCACGACACTGGCGCAAAGCCTAGCAGGCGTGGCACTCTCTCGACACCAAAGGGGGTGGGCAGGGGGTGGTCTCTCAGCTCGGCCGCTATCCACGACACTGGCGCAAAGCCTAGCAGGCGTGGCACTTTCTCGACACCACAGGGGGTG